ATCATAAAATGAAGTAAAATCTTTAACTAGTTAAAAATAGTAAGGAATAACTGAATAAATATCTTGGTAAAATGATAAACAGAATTTGAAGTAATAATCAAATAATCATTTGTTTTTTGGGTACAGTAACGTTCACACAAATAGGAATAGAAATGTATTGTTGGTCTATATAAGGCAGAGAGGATGACTATAGTAATGTGGATATGGGGAAGTAGATGTGCCCTAACAAAAGCATTACAAGCCTCATGTTAATCAGAGGAAAAGCTGCAAGCATGGTAATATTAATATTTACTATTGTGGATCAGTGCATAGGTAAATGATATGTGGCAAAGCAATGTCTGTGCATGGTAATTGTCCAGAAGATTTCTAAACTGAAAGTGGGAAAAACACAGGTAATAAAAGTCCTAGTATATGTTAGTACAGCAACATTTTTGGGGAAAAAAAAAAAAAGGAAAAAAATATGAGGAAAATATGTGTTTTAAGAATAGCTTGAAGGAATAGTAGTGCGATAGAATAGGTTAAATGAGTAAATAAATGTCTTATTTTATATGTGGAAATGTTGGACAATGACTTTAGGCACCAGGGCATGCTCCAAAGCAGAATTAGTGTGCCATTTCATGTTTGCCATGCAAATCATAATGTTTAGCACCCTCCCAAAGGACTAAATATGGGAGTCATCAAGACATAATTGGGGATAAATAATTTTTGAGGATTTCTTATCTCTTTGCTCACCTAACAAAGCAAGGTTTTTTCTACAAAGATATGACAGTCTCTGCTGGAGACTGAGGAGCAGCATGGTTGTTTTGGGGGTTGCAGAAAACTGAACAGAGTCAGAACAAGGAGGACGGGGCAGTCTTTGTCTCCCATCTTCAGATCAGTCCTTCTGTGCTGATTAGTCATAAATAAACTCTATATAACAAAGTCAGCAAAGCTGACATTATAAATCTTGGAAGATATTTGCACAATTAATATTTCTCGTCATATATCATTTATAAATATCATATAACTTATATTTTAAACAGGCTGTAAACAAGAGGATGTAGCCTAAGGCCAGGAATATATTAATAAAGGAATACAACAGGGGTGTTACTTAAGAGATCTTAAAGAAAAGGAGAAAGAAAAGGTCCTAGTCTACCATATTACCATGTAATGTTCTAGAGTCATTTAAATTTCATCCGCATGGATGAAATTACATAGGTGTATGAAACAATCTAACAGCTCACTCCAACTGAAAAAGTCCTACTTTTTTCCTCTATTCCTTTTAGCTTTCTCCTTGGCTCTGGCTTCATCTTCCTGCCACTTTTTGTTTGTGCCAATTCTCGTGCTTGTCAGACCCAAAAAATGAATTACCTCACCCAGCAGAAAAACAAAACACCCTTCAAAAAGTTCAGGTTCTGCTGGATTAACAAATTGAACTGATTTCACAAAGGGTCTCTCAGAAGTGCCATAGATAGGAGAAGGGAGAAGGTGGACAATGCACAAAAGCAAGAAGGGGAAAATATTGGAGGGAAGTTACCCCCTTTTGCAGCAGTAAGCGACTGGATTGGCTCAACTGATTATTTGACTGCATTTTAAAGAGCAAATGAGTAACACTGGGTCCTTCCATCCTTGGCTAGAGAAGGTGCAAAATGCCCAGACTAACTGCTCTGAGTGACTAAGGCAACCATCTAACAATAGCTGCAAAAAGGATGATGCTCTAAGATTTACCCAAGAAGTGTCATCCCTTGGAATAGGTTATAATGTCTGACTAGCTAGCTTCACAAGTTACCTGAGATGGTGGAGCAGTTCAAGAAGATCAGAAGATCTTCGGTGTTAAATATAATTTTCATAAGGTGTTTTCTTATATCATCTTATTGCAATTCTTTTCCCATAATGCAAATCTCTTAGAAGTAAACATTCTTTCATCTTTAAATCACATCTAAGGATAATGCTTGCTCTGAGTTACCTGACAAACATCTTTATTACCTCTTTTTTGAACATAACACAACGTCTGTTCAAAGGAAAAATAGCAAACTCCTGGAGTTTCTAGCAGCTGATGGGCTGTAGAATTCTCGAGACTCTGAAGGGCGAGCAACTGCTGAGCTGCCAGGGTCTCATCACAGGCAAGCTGTGAAAGGGCAGCTTTTGTGACAAGCTTAGTTTGAGCCCCACTGAAATCATAAATGGGCACTTTTCTGTTGGGTTCATTTTGTCCATTTTAGTGTTAAAGTGGTTCTCAAAAGAAGCCAGCAGGCGTCCAGAACTGGCAGAAAGTAAGCAATAGGGTCATCCATGAAGGAGCAGGAGAGGAAATGGGAGGAGTAAAAAGTAACATTCCCCTTCTGGCAGCTGTGAGCTGTTGTGGCAGTGCATGCAGACTCACAGAGCCAGGCTGCGTGACTTTGGTGGGGTGGAAGGGTTCTCATGAGCAGTCCTTTACACCTCCCCACAGCACATGGCAGCCAGAAGTCCTGGAAAGCTAACTTCAGATTTTCCTGTGTATGTTTGGTGAGGAACAGATGTTTCACACCAAATACAAGATGTTGCAAAATCATATTGTCCTACGTGACATCCTTTAAAATCGGAGCTCATAACAGGAGTGACATCAGAGTAAAGAGTCTGTGTCTAAGGATGCCTGGTCTTAAATAATCTCAGATCTTCTAAGAGTAGAGAGGCTGTACTAAAGAGAGTTCTTCACAGGACTACTTTAGCCTGTCACCTGAACAAATATAAATGCTTTAACTATGTATATGCTTTTACCTCTTGCTGAGCCAGTCTTTAAGAGATCGCACCACTGAAAGTGGAAGGTCCCTCTTCCTGTCAGTTCCTCCTCCTCTTCCCTCTGTGCCCTAGTGTCTGGCTCCCTCCTGCTGGTCAGACACACAACGGTTGTGACAAAGTTGAGGAGAGCACAGTCAGATAGGGGGCAAAGGTGGTAGTAGGGAAATGGGACTATCTCTTCTGACAGTGGTAGACCATCAGATTTGTCAAGTCGCAGTGTATAACTTCATACATAGCCCTCAGTGAAAGAAGATTAAACCAAAGCATACTATTACGCGTTTGGCCTGGGCTACGGTATATAACATGCTAACTCATGGTTTTATTAACAAGCATCCAAGTCCTCAGTCTGTATTCATTGCTTTTCTATCATACAGTTTCAAATCCCTTCATGCGATATTGAGGCTTGATTGGTGCCTTGTGGCATACATGCTGTACAAAACTAGTAATCATAATTATTTGTATTAAATTAATTTATAATAGTGGTCTGATGCAGGCAGTTATTTCAATATTAATAAGATATGAGGTTATCTTTTATAACTTTTGGAGAACTGTTGGAGGTAATCATAAGTATGATGTGTTGAATCACAGAAATAAATACATATCTTATAGTTTGACTACTCTCAAACTGTCTTGACATAGGCTTCCATCTTCCTAATTCTGATTTACTAGTACCACTTTTTAAAAATAGAAAGCTGAGAACTATCTAAGTGTTCTATATATTTAAATATTCTAGGGGTCGCTTCCATTCCAGTACTATATATACACACAGTGTGTAAAAGTATATATTGATTTAAAATCTGCTTGTAGTCTGGAAATTCCACTTGCAAACAGAGTTTTCTTTGTGAATTGTTTAGTAGGGTATTACACTTTCTGGCATGCATCCAAGTAAAAAAAATGTATGTATAAATAGAACTTTAAAATTAATTTGTCATTTGTTAGTATTCAGCACAACATACAGAATAAGTAATATTTTAAAAAAGCTAAGGTTATGGAGAAGTAATGAGGAAAGCATGAGAACCACTTACGTAAATTCTTCATCTTTGTATTTTCTTATCTGGTGCACATAGTAATGTGTTTCTGAATGTTTGGAACAGAAACATTTTAAAACCTGAATACGTTCTATTCTCTGGTTTTAGTATAGCTAATTATGTAGGGGGATTTGAATGTAATTTCATAACCAGAAACCTTAAATGAGGATTTGATGAACCAGATGAATAAAGCTCAGTCTTTCTGCTCTAGAAAGACTAGAAAGACTGATGGGTGTGTGGGCACTGGTCTTTTTTTGTCAAGTGACCGAGCACGTAAATATTTGTCCCCTATTACCTGAATATACTTATATGTTGTTGCACATCTGGAAGTACTACTGGTTTGTAGTAAGATGTACCTGGGGCTTCAGTCGCGTGGTCTGATCCACGTATCCCCCTGTGGAAAGCACCTGAGGCAGAGGGATGTGAGGGCCAGTTGTGGAAGGGACAGGGCTTGGCAAGAAGCAGCTCTGCACTAAGTTGTCCTCCTGGGCCATGTGGAGTTAGTTCACTGTTTAGAAACTGTTGTTTTGTTCAGACTGGACAAAACACAGCCTGCTAGTATTATATATGATCATATAGGCAAAAAACTTACATTCATCTAAGATTAAGTTTGAAGTGTTTTATTTGCCAAATCCTTTGTTTTTAAGAGTGAGATTATGATTCCCTTAAACTCAGTGACTAGCATGTTCTCCTTTAAAATAGTCCTATTAATATTTATGTAGTAGATAAGTCATATAAATATCTATGCACTTACTTGATAGCAGCATTCAAGACTGGCAAAAAGAATGAATATAAAAACATGCTTGCAGCCTTCCCCAGTAAGTGATTTTCTGGGTAAAAGAATTGGGCCTTATTCTTCCAACTGGACTAGTAGAAAAATCAAACTCCTACACATAATCCCAGTTCAATCAATTTAAGGAATGGGGCCTTAATTGGAAATAGACAATGCTGTTGTTTAGTTTTGTTTTTTTAAATACATCTAAAATGTTCTAAACTTAGGAAGAAATCTCCCTAAAAACTGTATTTAAGCCTCACTTGTATATTTGGAATATGTTATACGTTAGGTTGTGTAGGAGAAAAACCTTTTTAACCGACTTTTTTAGAGGTCTAAAGGGTTGGTTGATTTTCCTGTAATTTATATTGGAATGATTTGCATGATGCATGATTATTAAAATCTTAGAGAAGTTATCCTATAAGGCATGAAATCTTGTTTTTGTTCTTTCCTCAGCCATTATTGTGTACAGATTGCCCTGGACCTGGAAATGCAGCAAACTCCTGATGAAGTTCATCCATGCTGGGTTAAATACCATAGCTATGATTCTTGCAATTGTTTCTATGGTAGCCGTGTTTGAATACCACAATGCCAGGAACATTCCTAACATGTACAGTCTGCACAGCTGGATTGGGCTGACTGCTGTTATATTTTATTCTCTTCAGGTCAGAATTTTACTTTACTTATAAGCAGGTTGTAAAGTTTAAGAATGTGTTAAATAATTCAGGTACAGCAGGCCCTCACAAATATGCTCTAGCTATTGGGTTACCCATTTTACATTCTGTGATTTGGCAAATTAGCATATAAATGTGCAAACACTGGATCCTTGACTTCAAAGAAAAATGTACTTTAAAGCATATTTTATTTATTTGTTGGGATAATTGCAGTTTATTTACTCTTCGGGTTCACAGTAGTGTGTTTTTAAGCTCTATAAACTGCTGAAGTTAAAGCAAAACTGCCACATATCTCTTATTTTGGTGATAACCAGATGAGAACTATTGAATCTGTGGACTGGTATCATGGTTCTAATGGATTCTTAGATTGTTTTGAAAAAACACTATGGAAGAATGTTTTCATTTACAAAACCACAATCTATCTTTTTTTTTTTTAATGAGAAATAAGTGATTTGGTTTGTCAACAGCTTATTTAAATATATTTAGAGCTTTTACTAAGAAGTTCTCAGCTGAATTACTGTTGTGCCTTTTTTTTTCAATTAGTATAGTTTTAGGTTGTCACTTCTTGGCACCAAGACAGAACAAGTGCAACATGGGGCAGTGCAGATCTAAAGGCTTAGACATGTGAACAAGTTACTGCTGGGTCTGCTGATCTTCAATCTGCTTCTCGTTTTGCTACTATGAACATGATCAATGTCACTTAACTCAATGCCTTGTCCATAGAACTGTGGTATTACTTCTTCCAAACTGGGATGTAAGTCTACAGTCAGAGACTTTACAGGATTTTGTAAAGTGATTGAAAATTATTACTAGAAAGGACTAATAAAGTAGTATTTCTGTTAATAGACAAGACGCTTTGCATTTGCCAGAAGTGGTATGTTGATCTAAAAATTGATGTGTAAACATGACAAGAGTAAAAACAGTAAATTTCACTGTAAATATTTTCCCTCCAAAAGTCAGAATATAAAAGTAATAGTTCTTAGTGGTATTCTTGAGAAGATGCTCATATAATATTATATCTGCAAGAACAGAAATGTAAATATATTGTACTGAAGCCAGATGTATGTTAATAAAGCACAGCACACATTTATACATTTAAGAATAGGGCAGAAACGTAAAATGGAGACTGTCTTTGAAAAGCAATGTCTCTGAAAAGAGGTATTCAAAGTGGACTTGAATCTCAAAATGAGTTTCCATGATGCTGTGACAACAGGAAAAATAAATCTGTTTATAAGAGACTATTTTTACCTCTATATGTTGCATTAGTGAGACCAATATGAAATACTGTAGAATATGGAATACATTTTTTTCAATTTTTTAACATTTACAAAAGTACAAAGAAAAGCTGGAAAAGTAATATGAGAGCTAGAAAAACTGTCTTCCAGTGAAAGACTTAAAATGCCCCAACTGTTAGATCTAAAAGAAGATTAAGAGATGACTTGATTACAGTGTATTAAAAAGCTTCCTAGGGAGAAAATACAAGGCTCTTTAATCCAGCACGGAAAAACAGAACAAGGAGTAAGGCTGGAAGTTAAAGCAAGATGAATTTAAAAATTCATGCACTATTTCTAATTTAGCAGCAGGAGTAAGTAATGATGGGACAAACTGAAGATGGGATGCAGCCTCAATGTGACTGGGCAAGTCTGTAACTGAAACCACGTGACGTGATGGGTTATCCACCACACAGTGAGGGCTAATGGGAGGACTTCTGGCTCCTGAACAACTTCCCTCCACCCCCACACACCTTCGCTCTGTAAACATCACCTCATTTATATATTCAGGTATAGACCAATGCCATTCTAAAGGCATGTACCAATATAACCAAAGCTGTAACAAGGTGAAATTCTATAGTCCACAGAAGACAGAAGGTGAAACTGCCTTCTGATGTTCCTTTCTGTGTAAACCTATAACAAAAGGGGAGAAGAGAAATTGAAATTAAAGAGAAATTGAAGGGATAGTTAAAATGTAGCTAGTCACACCTTTGACGTATTACTAAATTAGTGTCACTGAAACTTTGTTTTTCCAATACTCAGTTTGGTTTTGGTTTTATCCTTACTACTCAGTTTGGATACTGGTATTAGGTCAGATTATTTACAAAATATTTCATGTCTGTTTCCCAGGTGCTAAGCTAGAATTATTGTTTTGGTCTTAGTATTTAAGGGTAACACATTCAAAAATGAAAATGTCAATTCATACTATATTTGTACCTGAAGACATCTCAAAATGGAATTTTTCTGATGTTTTTTAATCTGCTTGAGAAGTGCAGCATGTTTAATTGTAATTAATTTAAATTTTTTGATTTAAATTAATTAATTATTTTTTATCTCTGCATCTTTTTCGTGTTTAGCTTCTCCTGGGTTTTGCTGTCTTTCTACTCCCTTTTGCTCCAGTTCCGCTTCGAGCTGCTCTCATGCCAATACATACTTATTCGGGCCTCCTCATCTTTGCAACAGTGATTGCATCGGCTCTCATGGGAATCACAGAAAAGCTTATATTTTCACTGTAAGTGTTTTTTTTTTCATGTGTTCATTAAATTTATTCATTGCAAACTAAACTCCCTTTTGCACAGAATAGTAACAGTCTAGTTTTGAGTCATTGTTTTGTTTTGTTTTAAAAAGACATCTTGCCTAGCAAAGGACTGCTGTTTTTAGATCAGAATTGTCATTTAAAAATTGTCTTTTTTTCCCCTTCCAAAGGAAAAATCCTGCATATAGTACATCCCCACCGGAAGCAATTTTTGTCAACTGTCTTGGTCTTTTGATTGTAATATTTGGTGCGCTTGTTCTGTGGATGGCAAGCAGGCCCCATTGGAAACGCCCACCAGAAGAGCTTCCTGAAGTTTCACGGCGCAATGGAGGGACCCCCGAAGGCACAGAAGCAGAGTCCACAATGACAGATTGTAGTAATGCAGATAGATCTGACGTGGGCTTCAATAGTGAAGCAGCCAGAAAACGAAACCTCAAACTTGATGAAGCAGGCCAACGATCAACTATGTAAAGCAAATATACAGTATAACTGTATTACTATGTTGCCAAAAAATAGTCCTTCTCATGCAGTTTTATTGATATAGAAATAGGTTGGGGTTTCATTTTCAGTCAGGCTTGCTCAAAGGTATTCAAGTTTTCTGCATATGAATTTAAATTCCAGTAAGTCTCAAATACATTATATTGGTTCATGTTTAATCCTCATTAAATAAATGAGAGCTGAAATGAAGAACATGCCAAATTTAATGCTTTTAAAAATAGATCTAATAGGAAAATGTTTTCCACATCACTTCTAAATTTAATGCTTGTATCTCCTTCATAGTTATGAAAAGTTATTGAGACTAATTTTTTTTTCTGAACTATCTTACAGGTATGAGCAAGAGTTGTAAAGGTATATCAGAGAACAGAATTTAACTGTTAGCACATAATTTTTCTGATAATGTTCACTTTCTAAAAGGCTTGATCTCTCAAGCTGATGAATCCTCTCACCAGCTGCTAAAATCTGTGGGATCTGAGGTCACTCAGCACTTTGCAGAGTTGCACTGTAAATATTTCTGGCCTCAGATATTGAATTCAGATAAAGAAATGAAATAGTTTGCCTGAAGTTTTCATGAACTATCATGTTGCTTTTAAAAAACATTTAAGTCTTTTAATCAGATTTTAAATGTTAATTTCTTTTTAAACAACTCTACCAAGTACATTGTATAGAAACAGCATTTAGCTTTGGATATGGGTGATTGTTACTGAGATCTAAGGAAATGGTAAGATAGTGAAGGCAGAATTTGTCTTATTTGGACAGCTATAGATACACACTGAAAAATATAAACATCACTTAAATCAAGTCTTTCTTTGATCCCAGAAGGCAGTATTTACTATCTGGATTTGGTGGTACAGTTTCTCTTGATTCATGACACTAGACTAGAAATTAGGAAATTGGAAACCAGAGTAGACTGGTAAGCAGTCTCACAGAAGAGTGGAGCTTGAAGTGAGAAATGTTTTCTCCCAAGAAGAGTGGCACTTTGCTGATGTGATGAAAATGTTACCAGCTAACTGAAAGCCAGTTTTGGTATCTTTGCACTGGCATCAATCATTTTTGTTACAGGGGTGAAGACAAACTTAACTCTATAATCAAACCATATAAACTTTTCTTATTTAAAAATTAAGATGTTAAATAATGCTACTTGAGTCGGTTGTGGCACTTTACTTTTATAGCTTGTTTTAATAATCAGAGTATTAATGTATTACTCTTACTCTTTTTTTTTTCCACAAATATAAGCAATACTTTTATTTTTTACTACCATTGAAGAATAATTATAACAGACTGTTTTGATTGCACATGTTCAAAGTGATGAGCCTTTCTATTATGATCTCTTACAAAAGCTGCAGAGCCTACTAAAGTCATCTTGATAACTGCAATAGCTGTTCCAAATTTACCACTAATCATGTTGCAAAGAACTCTGCATAATATTTCAGATAGCGTACCATTTCCTACTTTTTTAAAGACTACATTAATTTTCATTTACTTCCGCTTTTTAAAACATTCAAACACATTAAACTTTGGCAAATACGTAATTTTTCTACTTCAAAATGTTGCATTAGTATAAACAATTTTGGTTATGCATTATTTTGGATCTCCTTTGACAAAGCACATCTCAGGTCCTGTTATTTGCTTTGTAATAACATTTAATTATTTGGTAGGTACAGTGTAGGAAGCTAGCATAGTAAATTATTAGAAATTTTTTTCTGCTGTACCACTTGGTACTCAAGGGCTACATCCTCTAGTGCTACGTCATCACTTACATATGTGTGTGGATGACTGGGAGCCATCTAGCATTTGTATAAAGTTTGAGAAAATATCTGCTATTAAATGCTTTCATGTAGAATGTAGATATGAGAGAAGGAAATACTATCCTATTGTGTACAATGGACTGAACTGCTTTTTCCCTGTTTTTCAAGGATATTTTTTTCAAGTTCCACAAAATTATGCCTTCCCTAAAAGTGTTCTGAGCAGCTTCTGCATAAAATCCAAATAGCAATGACAATGACTTTTTGAGAGAAAATTGGGAGTGCTCTTTTGACATGACATTAGTGTGCAACTGACAGGACATTATTATGTTACGCATCCAACTATAAATTTATATATTGTCTATTAAGCAGGAAGAGGAAGACTAGAGCTTCTAGAGAATGCTCAACTGCTATTTTGTTTTCCTGTGCTCTTTTATATTCTGCTCAGACAAGTCTATGTTTTTTTAGTGGAATCCAGTTGGTGGATGCACACTTAGTGTTCACGAGAGGTGCTCTGTTAACACTTCTGCAGTATGAGTTCATTTATTCAGTTCACAACAGGTGCAATACAGGCAACAACATTTTAAATTGGCATGTATTACCCTGTTATGGTGTTTCATCCACTTACGAAATGAGTTCATTCAATCCTTGCATGGTACTAACTCATCTAATAAAAGCATGTGTTTGTGTGCAAGGTAGCCACATGTACAGGGATTGTTCTGGAAGACACTCTAACCGTACAATATACTGGAAAAAAACCCAAAATTCTGTGATTTCCTTGATTCATCAGTGACTTGTATGTATTGAAATCAACAACTTTTAGGTGAATAGTTCTATATGCTGTTAAAGTTAAGCTATAGTAATAATTATGCTGTTCTCACTACCCAAGAGTAATGATACTTCAAGAAAGAATGGTGCCATTTCTTCCCTTCTCTATTCTGATGATACAAAACTCATTGTAAACCAAGGATTGGCAGCCTTTCAAGGGTAATCTGCCAGGCTGTACTTTTCTTTTTCAAATTTGAGGTTAAACATGCTGGTGGAAACTCACAGGGAGGTGGGAAGTTCCATTCTGGCAAATTACGGTATCACACGGATAATCAGTGATATCTGATGTGCATGATGCAGGGGCTTCTGGCTCCTTTGGACTTTGGAAGGTCTCCCCAAGATGCAGTAGCTCTGAGCTCCTAAAACTTTCTTGACCTTGGTGTGTACAATTTAAAATAGGCTTGCATGCTATAGGCTTTTGGTTTCTGTTCCAAACCAATTAAAAAAAATCTTTGCAAGTATCCTTACAAAGTATGAGGTTAGTTCAAATGCTAAATAAAATATGAAGGACTTTGGAGAGTTATCTTTTTAGAAAAAAAACAGATAAACCTAAATCTGTTTCTCAAAGTGGCCTTCTGTCGGCTTTTCTTCCATAGAACTTGCAGTTACATGCAGGAGTAGCAACATGGAAACTAAAAAAGTATATTTTCAAATATATAAGTGGAAGTTAGAACTCTAGCTTTTTTATCAGCATTTTTATGGATGTTTTGGAATCTTCTAAATTGTTATGTTTTTACAGGAACATGATTGTACAGCTTACATTCCAAGTTTGTGTTTCTATAAAAACATAGGAAGTTACAAAACCTAATATAAAATTACTATTTTTTATAAGATGTCTGAAAAAAGAATTATTTTTAATGTATTTACATGCTGTCTTGCAGTACTGGGCACAGAAGCAGAACTGTTTTGTTCCAACATTAATGAAACTGAGAAATTATGGTATGAACTAGATTTTAAAATTGAATGTACAGTTTCATGTACACTTTTTACTTCATGTAATCAAGAAGATTGCATATGATACTGTAAATACAGATTACTTGTGTACATGGAAATTTTATTGAGACTAAAAGATATTGCCAAATATTTTCTATTTCAGAAGACAGTTTTGTTTCCATTTTATAAAATTCTTTCCTCTGTTTCTGCCTGTTCACAAAGACTTAAAGAATTATTTTATTGTTTTGTTACTTGCAATACATATTTGTAGATTAAAACAAATGTTCAATTACAATGTCTATTTCCTTATTCTTTTTTGTATGTTAATAAAAATGATTTTTCAAGCTTATGATACCATGGAGTACAGAATTATATTATGTCACTAAGTCACAACTTTTTTAATTTGGTAAAAGATCAAATTATTATCTTGATTACTTTTTTTTGAAAACAGGTAAGAATATTTCTTAAAATATTTCTTTAAATATTCTAAGTATTCCATATACTATTCATAATGAAGCTCAATTATAAACATACTTGGAAGTAGGGACTCAAAATTTTGGTAGAAGGACTGCATTTGTGTTGAGAAATGTTTTTTGCTAATTCTTGATGGAAGCCTTGTAACTTCTGAACTGCTTTCTGCATTGTATGACAGTATGATGAACGCTTTTGATCTCTGTAAATCTAGTGGGCAATAATGAAGGGAAAATTACTGTACAGGAAGGACTGGAGTCTAAGTCAACCAACTAGTCAACCATTGCAAGTAATGCAAATAATAGAAGAGAGGAGGTAAAATGAGTAAATTCAACTATTACTGTACAGATATCAGAACTTTTAAAACAACAACGCCAACAAGGCTACAGCTAGCTCTGACAGAAGAAGTAGAAACAATTGGCATAAATTTCAATGAGCTCACTTACCTTTGGCAAATGTGATCATCACAGACTACACCAACGTATGTCAGCTTGGGGCTTGAGCTTACAGTCATGTCCAAACTGCCTAGTCATGTGTACTGACTACTCATTGGCTCTCACCCTGTCTCTGTCAGGAGTGAACTAACTGGCTATTTAGGCATAGAAATGTTTGCAATTTTCCTTTCAATTTTCACTAGTATTTCATTCCAACAAAAAAATTTCCATCTAACAGTATTCAAAGTTTGCCAGATATTATTAAATAATGTGATTAATCAGATTTTCAAATGTTTTGTAAGAGGCTGGTCCTTTTAATTATATATGTATTCAAGTAGTGATCCGCTAGGTGGCAAGCGCTACCAAAACTGCCTCTGTCAGATGCTAGTCTATCGTTGCTTTAAATCATACAGTATGATTTGGCTTATGTGCCTTTAAATAAAATAAAAATGTTAGTAGACATAAAACGCAATCATGTCAGAAGGTATATATTTAGTTTTATTTTCTTTTAAAAGAGACACTTAAAATATACTTCATCTCTCTGGCTGTGGAAATTGTTCATTACTGTGCTCTACTTCAGACTTCTTAAACTGCTGTTTTGTAACTTCTGTGTGAGTATAAGCTTAGTTAAAAGAAGGAATAAAGAGAACATGAGAGCATGAAAGTTTAGGGACAAGCTCATATATAAGAGAAAAGTAGCAAGAATTAGAAAAAAATAGGGACTTCTAATGCTTTTGCCATTTGATCTTGCAGTCTTACATAAAATTTGTCTCTTTAAAATTTTCACTTTGAAAAAATGAACATTTGTGCCAATTTCAAATAATACAAAATAAAGTTTTCCCCTCTGACCTATGCTAACAGTTTCTGTTCCTACTTTATTCTGTTTGTGAAAACTGATGATGTAAGCATGTTTGCTGACATATGCTTGTTCAAACCACTGAAAGTTATTCTGTACATGGTATGGTGCTACTTCCTGATCTGACTTGCTTGCTTGTCCTCTGAGGCTATGTTTATACTGAAAGATATTTTTTCTCCTACAGCTAACCAATGACACTGATTTTATGGTGACAGTGGGAATGCTAATGTAGTCAGAGCATTGTGTTTTTTTCCACAGAATTAATGATTCATGTTTAGGTCAATAAAGTGGTAAAATTCAGTGGAATTCTGATTTTCCTGTACCTTACTCCACCACTACTGCATCTGGTAGAAATACTATGTTAAAAGACTCCCAATATAGATATAATCCATCCTAACAGCTTGAGCACTGATCTGTTTGTTAAAAACATCGATTGCTGTTGCAGTAAAAGGCTAATTCGTGAATCACTGTGGCAATGGAAGCACTAATGCTGACCGGCTACTGTTTCTGAGCAGATGTAAAGGACAGGAGTAAAAATATAAGACAATCTACATGAATGTTCACTGCTGTTATTACTGCATCTGTTACGAGGAACTTCCAACAAAAATTAAATTAGACATAGCCCCTGAGATCATTTTACCTTGTCCCAAATGCATGTCTTCTAATGAATAGTTACAATTGTCAGGGCCCTCAATGCACTAAAAGGCCTTAATGGCTCTGACCAGTCTTACCTGGGTCCCCCACCCCCACCCTTGCCCATGGGCCCTGGAGCCCAATTTCAGCTCAGCCAGGGGCCTTCGTACCCTCCCTGAGTTACACTGTAAGAGCACGGGTCTCCAGTTCAGACACAGCTGTCTCCCTCCCTGGCCATGGGCCCTGCTGACTGGACCTTGTCACTCAACCTGCCTGGCATTCATTGCACTGTGTGCACCCCACTTACCCTCACCAGATTTGACCCTGACCTGTGGATTGATGTTCTGGCCTAACCTTGGAGCTACCTTGTCACTATGAAATTTGTCTGATGATCTGGACTCTTGGTGGAACCTGGCTGGCATCTCTGGACCTGCCCTGCTCCCTTGCTTGGGTACTGTGGGATGTGGCCCTGGCTAGTGGACCTAAACACTACTATCCTATCTTCAAATAAATGAGGGAAAGCTCATAGGCAATACAGGCAGACAGCTCTTCCCAAACTATATCAGGCATTCAGAGCCCTCACATTGGTGTTACTTGACTTTGAATATAACCATAGGTAAGAGTTGCTTCCAGAGTTGTTAAGGGACTTTAGAGATAGTAAAGTGTTATTTGAATCTCTGACTTTTGTTTGTTCCTAATTTTCCTGTAAAGTAAAATATCCTGGCACAGAATTAAATGTCGTGCTCATTTTGCTTTTGATTTCTTCTTTCATAAGCCCTCGCTGGTCATCGGGGAGTACTGGGCACTACTTTGGCCTCTTCAGAATTTTAAGTTGTTACCAACTTAGAAATGGATATAGGAACCTCTATCGGGGATCTGACTACACTTCCATTTGCTTTGAGCTGTTCACAGCAATGCCCAGGTCTCCTTCCTAAGTTAACCATTACAATCCTGTGAGGAGCGCAGACATTTCAAGTTTTACCTACAAATTACATTATTCTGCACTTACTGATATTAAACTTTCCAAGCACTGAATGTGCTCCATTTGCCAAATTATATTTCTTATTCCGAGCTTCCCTCCTCAGCTCTTCTATGGAGTTTTTATTCCTAACTCTGTATTTCCTGAACCTCTCCTCTGTATCATTGCAAATGAAATCTTTATATTTCTGAATACACTTTCTTTGTTTTATAACCCTGGTAATCATTCTCTCATTCTAGAGAGGGCAAGCCAGTTTAGTACGAATAAGATAGTTCCTAATGCCTTAAAGGACTTACTCACTCTGAAGTAAGCGCTTATGAAATGTAATAACTGGAGAGAAAAGCATTTTGCACATCAGTCCAACAGGTAAAAATTCAGATTATATTAAAAACCACACTTCCAGTTTTTCTATATGTTGTAAATATGTTTATATGATATTTCAGTTATTTGTATCATATTTATTCTTCCTTTCCATACCTTTAAACATTAAAAATACCCATAATCATTTTATTAATACAATTTTTGAATATGTAGGACTCCCATAATAAGGAATACCTTGGCTGTTTGATCTAACCTATTGAATTTTGAATTAAAAATATTTCTGAGGCTTTAGAGTCTATCATTATGCAAAATATGTAATATACATCCCAACAGCCTATATCCAACAATGTTTAGTTACTTTAGGTCTATAACTTGAGGTCTGACCCATTTTGAGAGAATACAGCTTGTGTAGCCTATATGCAAAACACTAGGAAAAGCAGAAACTTCAGTTTGTCCTCTTTACGGATTTGTTTATTCAGAAAGAGGCCTTGAAATGAAAGGATGGCAAGCTTACTGAACAATGAGTTGTTACTCTTTGAAGGCATATTTTCTTAAAAATCCCAAGAATATCTGAGAGTTTTTATCTTTGAGAGAAAATATGTGGAAGAGTCAGAAAGGATTTTTTTTTCCTGCTACAGCTGCCTGTTGCTCTCCTTATGCCAAGATTTACACGATTGCTATGGAGAGCAACTGGATTTAGCATGAGGAGAAATTATGGCTTTCCCCTAGGGAGAGACAGAAAAAGGAAAGACAGAGTGGGGCACACAGACAATATTTGCAGCTATATTCCTAGTCAATTATTTTATTCGGCCTCTATTTTTGATTCTGCTGCAACTAAAAAAAGGCAGGAAAGCTACTGGCCTCAAGTCAGGAACTCAGATTATTAAAGAAACTATTTGTGTTTTAATGCAAATGCCTACCTATAATAGAAGCAATATATTGTTTTTATATAGAGCTGACTATGGTGCACTGTGTAACATACATGTAAATAAGAAAAACTGTCTTTAGAATTTGCCAGATGGAGTTTTGCCTTATATGCAGGGTTCTTCCACATAGAGGAGAGAGTCACTGTAGAACTGTGCATCATTACAGTCATTTTAGCAATTCATTGTCTATACAGTCTTTTGTGTATTCTTCCATTTTGGATTACATGCCCTGAATGTTAAAACAGGGAATAAAATTTTTGCTTATAAGGCAGACCTGTGCAACATCAAATCATAAACAGCCAGCTTTCAGGCTGCTATCTTTTGTTAACCTTAAAGAACCTATGGAAAGTACAATGTTTTGCAATACTGAAATATATTTGTATCACAATGAAAGGTACTTCATGAGCAAAGCAAGACTCCAGAGTAAGAAGACAATAGATACTGAGAGCAGAAGGCAGTCTGGGAGAGTTTAGCACTGAGAGGGTATAGATTTCCAAATGTAATTATTGACAGATAATTTCACAAGGTTATTAGTAACTTTGCTAATTAAATTAAATAAAATTAAATCACATAATTAAGCAATAAGTTAAAACAGAAACAAATATTATCTACGTAGTCTCAGAGTTTACATCCAGTAGTTATGAGAGGCAGAAGACAGTCTCATATTCATTTAGTAAATATTTTGGAGTTCCCAAACTAGGCATATATCATAGAAAAACAGGTAAAAAATGTCCAGTATTCCCTTCTTCTTCATTTAATTGCATGTACAACAGTTCATCCTAACATAAAAATTAAATCATCTAACTAGAATGACTGACTTCATTTGTTTCCTCCTGTTGATTTCCAAGTTATGATTACCTCATGACATTTAGTTACTAAGAGGGAGTGACTCAATTTTGTGTTTGTTGTAACAGTAGTTTTGCTGTTGGACAATAGCAGCATTTTTGAGATACTCAAGGATCACCTGAAAATTTTTTAAAAGATATTAAAACAAAAAACTATCATCTCAGGGTCACTGATATTAACTGCTTGATATTTTTGCATATGCTAAAGATGATTGATTATTTTTAAAATCAGTGTTTCATGAACAGAAATTTTAGCACAGCCTTGAATTTGGGGAACATAGACAAGATTCTTGGAGTTTAGATGTTTATCTGAGCAGCTGCAACTACTCAAACATTCAGTGATGCCTTTATTCTACTGTGACTCCCCTGAACAAAGAATTACTTTGAAGGGAACCCTAATAACCTAATACATCATTACAGAACAACCATGAGGATTATGGCACTGATTTATCTTCGGGTACCATTGCTTTTCTTTTTCAAGTGTAGTAAATTGAGACTTGGTTTGGGGTTGTTAAAAACTGTTCCCCTTTTAGAATAAATTGAAGGCTTTGGAGCTTCTCTGTTTCAAAGTCTCTTTTTTATTTTTACTACCTCTTGCTCTGTTATGTTTGACTTTAATTTCTCTTTGGTGGGGAGGATGGGACTATGGGGAATAACAGTTGCTCTTATTTCTCCTCTATTTTCCACGGTTGGCTAATCAGATTTCCAATGACAAAATTCAGGACAAGAGGTCTTAGCAGAAAGGATTAGGAGAGTCTGAAGTCCAACCCTTGTAAACAACTCTGACCTTCTACAAATCAAAGATAGTAGGCATTTAACCAATAACTCCTGAATCAATTCATAAATTGTGTCTCAGGTACGCTATATGTTTTTCAAAAGAAATTTCAGCTAAAGAATTTAGATGAGAGTACTCCTTCTAGCATAGATACATTGTTCCAAATTGTAATGAATACTTTTTTTTAAGTACTTAATTTATAGTCTGAATTTATCTAGTTTCAAATTCGGATCACTAGATCTTATGCTTTTATCTGGTAACTAAAGAATCCTCTACTATCAGCTGATTTCCTTCTATGGAGATATTTATATTTATGACCAAGTCAACTTACTATCTTTTCTATGAAGCTCAATGGAGAGACTGTATATCAAAAAGGTAGATTGTGAGGAAAAATCAAAGTTCATTCTTCTGTCCAGAATGAAAGTCCCCATCTGATAAAATTGACTACACAGAGCAGGGTCACTTTACACCCTTGCACAGTGCTATAACCAAGCTAAAACCGTTAGTAGCTCAAGGCTGCACTTCTCATTGCTAGCTCAGATTGTTACTGTATATTAACAAGAGATTCCAGCAGGCTCTGTACAGATACAAAGCAAGCTCACATTTTTCCTGCAAAATACAGCATTAAAGTAGCCTATATATAATAAATGTGGCTGTAGGACTTCTCTGAGATATATGTGCTCACATAGACTGAAATTTTCACAATTTCATCTGAAAAATAAAGCCTTTTCTAGTTTTATAAAGATTTACTGACTTGTGTAACAGGGTAACAAGTCGCTCCCTTTCCAGTAGTTCTTTTGGCCATTTTCATTCATTCACATGA